GAATATTATTGTCTCCAACTCTTTATGAAATTATTGAAGGTAACAGATTCAAAAAAATAGCATGGAATTGTGTAGTCTAAGTCTTGAATTTTTGTTACATCAATCATTTGCAAAAACTATGCCTTTTTAAAGTCTGTGACTGATTTATATGTTTCATTTGGCGAAACTATTTTTAAATTTTTATGGTATATAACTTCTCTTCTTGGATCAATTCTCTAAATTGTGGTATAAAGTCTTTGTTTATCGTTGCATATAAAGGAATTTCCTAAAAAAATATATAGAAATAAAATATTAAAATTATGAATTTGTATTAAAAAATAATAATGTTAAACATTTAGAATATAAATAGTATATTTTGTGATCAAATACAATATTATAAATAAATAGTTATTACCTTCTCATTTAACAAAATCATTTCTATGAATTTTTGTTCTTCATCGTTTTGCATATTATAAACGTTCCACAATCCAACCACTATGACTTGAAGTAACAAATCTTTAAGATTGGTGTTAAGATTTAAGATTAAACTTTCCATTACTTCTTATAGTATGAATATAAAACGAATATAATTGTTTGATATAATGTGTTATTAATAAAGTTAAGAGGTTGTTGTTTATATAGGAGAATGTATTTGTATCACTTTTTCTATGCCTATAGTATATGTCTTTTTCAATGTCATGTTTTCAAACGGCCAAATGAATGTAATTGTAATAATAATAATAATAATAAATAAATATTATATGTAACAGTTAAGAGCTGAAATATGTAATTGAATTTTAATTAATTTTTAATTATAAAAATTGAAATAATGAATAATTAAATATGTAATTAACTCAAGTCCATCAATTCAGTCGTTATCTTTCATGATTTAAAAAGTAGTTTATTTTAATTATTGTTACTATATATATCATGTGTTATATTTTAAAAAAATGGTATAAATATTTATAATAATAATAATAATAATAATAATAATAATAATAATAATAATAATAATAATAATTATTATTATTATTATTATTATTATTATTATTATTATTATTATTACTATTATTATTATTATTATTATTATTATTATTATTATTATTATTATTATTATTATTATTATAATTTACATCTTTATTAAAGTATTTATAAAAAAACATAGTTTATTTTTGTAATATTTTAATATGTCCTATTAATATTTGGGATTAAATTTTATATGTATTATTTATTTTAAGGTCCGAGTGAAATAAAATATCATTTTTATTATTCATATATATTTTTCAATTTTTAAGTAATAATGTTAATAATAAAAAATTAAAATATTTACTATTTTTGTTATTGAATTTTATTGGAAAAACGTTTAATATAGTTTATTGTAAATTTATTATAAACATTCGATTTCTTTTATTAGTATCACAAATAAATATTATTTTTTACTGAGACTAAATTAATTTTTTTAATAATATTGATTATAAATATTTTTTATAGTAATAATTGTTTATAAAAGGACTAAAAGATATTTAGAGTTTCTAAAAAATTTATTAATCTTAATTTAAAATTAGAAGGGGGTGTCAATATCTTTTTAACAAACCTCAAGAAAGATGAGTGTAATTTTTTCAATAACTAATGTTAACACAATGAATAATTAATTGGATTCCAATAACATTAAAATTTATAATTAATAATCATTATACATGATTGACTTATATATTATTATTATTATAATATTCATAACAATTTTTTAAAATATAACACATTTTCTAATATAAAAGAGATCATTTTCTACATTATTTTTTTATTTATAATTAATTATAATTGTTATTTTTATAATCAAAATAATATTATTCATATTGTTATTAAATAAAAAATACTAAATATAGATATTAAATAACTAATTAAATTATAGATATTAAACCAGAGGCATGGGAAATTTGTATAATATATTATACAAATTTAAGTTATTTAATATCATTATATTATACAAATTTCCCATGCCTCTAGTTTAATATCTATAATTTAATTAGTTATTTAATATCTATATTTAGTATTTTTTATTTAATAACAATATGAATAATATTATTTTGATTATAAAAATAACAATTATAATTAATTATAAATAAAAAAATAATGTAGAAAATGATCTCTTTTATATTAAAAAATGTGTTATATTTTAAAAAATTGTTATGAATATTATAATAATAATAATATATAAGTCAATCATGTATAATGATTATTAATTATAAATTTTAATGTTATTGAAATCCAATTAATTATTCATTGTGTTAACATTAGTTATTGAAAAAATTACACTCATCTTTCTTGAGGTTTGTTAAAAAGATATTGACACCCCCTTCTAATTTTAAATTAAGATTAATAAATTTTTTAGAAACTCTAAATATCTCAAACTTCGCTTTTAGTCCTTTAAATTTTTTTTTAAAGAATGGTCTTCCTAAAAATTTAAAATTTAAGTTTTGGTCCCAATCGTAGCTAAAATAATCTCTAATTTCGTCGTTAAATTAAAAATCGTCGCTAAAAATCATCGCTAAAATCGTCGTTAAATTGTAAAAATCGTCACTAAATTGCAGGAGACCAAAATTTAAAATTTAAATTTTTAGAAAGATCATTATTTGAAGGAAAATTTTAAAGGGACTAAAAACAAAGTTTTAGATATTAAGTGGAATCAAAAAGTTCATTAACTCATTAAATTATGCACCGATGTTCCCTAAGCATACATATACCAACGAAAAATTGTAGTAACATATCAAAAATCGTATGTAAATATCATTTATACCTACGTTGTTTGACGGTCACTAAAAATTATAGGGATGTCAATATCATTTTAATAGACCTCGAGAGAAGTCAATACATGTTTAAAAATTAGAGGAGATATTAGTGTCATTTTAACGGACCTTAAGAGAGATGAGTGTATCTTCCCCTTAATTATTCAACGTATAAAACGTCTCTCTATTCATTAGTTTTCTTTCATGATCTAAAATATAGTTTATTTTATTTATTGTCATTATTTCATGAGTTTTATTTTCTTTAAATGAAATTAATGTTAATAATAACAATAATACACATATTTAAAGTATTTATAATAAGAAAATATTTTATTTTTTAAACATTTTTTCATGTGATATTAATATATAGGAAACATTATTATATGTATGAATTTTTTATTGTTCTAAAATAAAATAATATAATTATTATTCATATGCCTTTTTCAATTTTCAATAATAATATTAATAATACAAAATTTAAGTTTATTATTTAATTTAATAAAAGTAAATTTGATTATTAAAAATAATAAATATAATTAATTATTAACATGAATAAAATGATGTGCAAAATGATCTATGTGCAAAATGATCTCTTTTATTTATTTTCATATTGATTATTTACTATGTTATATTAAATATATATACATATATATGAATATTTATAATAATATTCAAATAAATTATATTAAAATGTAAGAAATTTTATTTTTCTATAATATTGTTAATACAAATTATATAAATTATAATTTACCATAACAACTGAAAATTATGACTGAATGATTTTATAAATCCTTAAAAGTGAGTTCTTATTTTTAATTAATATATTATGATTAAATATTTATTATTTTAATATATAACATTAGTTATGGGAAGAGTCAAAGGATGTGAGGAGAGGTGTTGGCAAATAGATGGTTTTGATTGGTGGTTTAGTAGAAATCATGTGAAATTTTATTTTCCTATAATATTGATAATACAAATTAAATAAATTATAATTCATCATAATAACTGAAAATTATGACTGAATGACTTTATAAACACTTAAAAGTGAGTTCTTATTTTTAGTTAATATATTATGATTAAATATTTATTATTTTAATATATAATATTAGTTGTGGGAAGAGTCAAAAGATGTGAGGAGGGGTGTTGGCGAATATATGGGTTTTGACCGGTAGTTTAGTAGAAATTGTACACATAAGCAAATAGAATGATGTGGATTACTCACTCACTTCCTTTACAATTGTCATTTTTAAACTTTTTCGACAAATCAAGAAAGGTAATGATAGTTGTTACTTTTTAAACAATAAGTTCCAAAAGAATAAATGAGATTTTATAGCATTAGAAGTAGATCCCCAAATGAAATTTATGCAATGTCGTATTACATTATCGCAAATGGATAAATGTAAGATTATAGATGGCATGGCATAATTTAGAAGTCCCATAATAAAACTTTGAGCGAGAGTAATGTGACTAGCCATAGAAAGAGAGTAGTTAGCCTTCTAACATGATAGTTTATTCTCAACATAATCAGAATAAAAACATAAAAAATCTTTCTTTTACAACCATATATGAATGTCACACCCAAGTATTTTCAAGATTAAATGTGGTTTCAATATTCAAATAATGCTAATAGAATATACAATACACTGTGAGGTTTTTTTAAAAAAAGGAAATATTTGATTTAGGGAGGCTAACTTGTTGTCTAGGTTGTGAGCAAAAATGATCTATAATATCCTTTAATCATATAATTTTACCATTAAATACTTTAGCTACTAAAATAATATCATTATCAAACATCATATGCGACACATGAGGTCCACTACAACCAAACTTGATAGGCTTCCATGCATTATCCATAACAACATGAAACATGCATGGTTGAGTATTTCCATTTCAAGCACAAACAAATAAGGAGACACGAGGTCTCATTTTTGGAGACCATGCGTGAAAAATATTGAGAGGGTCCACCATCTCAATTAATGTTCATTATAAAAGAAGAAATGCAAGTCATAATAAAATTTACTTTTCGAGGCCGGAGAGACGTAAAACTAAAATATTCTTTTATAAAATTATACTGCAATTTATCACAATTTTTGTTAGAGATGACATTTGAGACAATATTGTATATCACTTTACAAATAGCTATTGTCAAAAGTCAAAGGCTCAGCGCCTTTGATAATAAGAGTTAATCAGTGTTGTAACAATTGTAATAAAGATTACAATTGTGTTGTTTATGAGGATATGGACCACAAGGAAATAAATAGGACGAGAACATTCCTCTGCATCAAGGTGAAGATAGATCTTCATAAACCTCTGAATAGAGGAACAGTCATCAAATACCAAGACATACAGTTGAGAGTCTTTTTCAAGTACGAGAGACTCCCCACTTTTTGTTTTGCATGCGGAAGAATTAGCCACCAACTGAAGGATTGCGAGGAACTGGGGGGAAATGGGCTAGAAGATTTTAAAGATATTGAAGAGAGCGAACTTTCATTTGGACTTTGGCTAAAAGCTTCCCCTCTCCCGAAAAGCAATGAGGAACCCATAAAGGATCATAGTTCGGGAAGTTTTAGTAGGAACTTGTTTGAATCACCTTCTCAAAGTGGAGGAAGTGGTTCTGGGAGGACTATTAGTGTGAGAAAAGGCAATCAACAACATCAGGGGCCTAATGGTGAAGATGAACTGAAGGGATAAAGCAACGAAAACACGACCTTAAACCAGAGGTTAGTTGAGCTGGAGAGTTTGGCAGAGTCCCTAGGTGCAATGGCGATTTCAAAAAATGATAAATCTGTTTCAACGATGGTCAAAACCAAGGGCAAGAAAGGCCCCCCGAAGTGGAAGAGGCACAAGGAAGGTCCAGCAGGTGATACATATGCCAAGAAACTCGAATTGGAACTGGGTGAATGTTAGTTGGTTGATGTCATGATAATTGTGGGATCTCCGGAGGATGCCAGGAGTGGTGGGAAGAAGTGAATACAAGTAGAAAGGGACAGTGGAAGCAACTCTCAAAAGCTACCAGAGGTGGTGTTGGACGACCAGCACCACCTAGCCCAATGAATCTTATAAGTTAGAATTATAGGGGGTTAGGGAAACGTTGTACAGTTTGAGCCTTGTCAAGGCTCACCAAACTTGAAAATCCCGCAGTTATTTTTCTTATGGAGTCTAGACTCAAGGATGTGGAGATGGAAAATATCATATTGAAGTATAGTTTCAGTCAGTGTTTAGGCATTAGCTGTATGGGGGGAGAAAGAGAAATGACATGAGGTTTGGCATTGCTTTGCTCTGATTATGTGCAAATTGATATAATATCCTACTCTTGCAACCATATTTGCGCCAACTTACATGATGATATCAGTGGAGAATTCTTAGTTATTTCAGCTATTTATGGTTTCCCGGATAAAAGGAGAAAGAAGAATGTGTGGGATCTCATCAGAAGCTTACAACCAGTGGAAGGTATGTGGTTTTTTTTTTTTTATATCAACGATGTTCTTAGTAATGCAGAAAATATTGGGGGAAACACTCGTACTTGCTCTCAGCTAGAGTGGGGAAGACAAACGGTTAAGGATTGTGAGTTGATTGATGTGGGCTTTGAGGGATACCCGTTCACTTGGAACAACGGTAGAGAGAACTCTGATAATATTCAATGCATATTGGATAGAGGGTGGGGAAACCCAGCTTTCATCAATAGGTTTTCGCCAGTCCAAATCCGCCGTCTCCCCAAGCGTACCTCGAATCATGCAGTCTTGGCTATTGAGTTGGAGGTTGTGAGTAATTACCAGAAGAAAAAGAAGAATTATTTGTTTAGATTTGAGGAAGTGTGGACTTAGGATGAGAGGTGTGAGGAAGTTGTTAGAAGGATGTGGCACAGACCCTGCGCTAGTTTGGTGGATAAAGTTCAGAATCTCATCTCCCTGGGGACTCTGTTGGGTAAGTATCGAAGTGACAAACTCAGGAAGGAAATTCTCAAGGTTGAATCTAATATCAATAATCTGGATTTGGGGGACCCTTCCCCTGAGGAGCTTGCAAAAAAGCAGGAACCTCAATAAGTGTCTTGATGATCTCTTGGCCAAGGAAGAAGTCATTTGGCGTCAGCGCAACAGAGCCTTGTGGTTACACAAACGAGATAAGGATACATCGTTCTTTCATGGAAAAGCATCCCAACAAAAGAAAACAAATTCCATTGTGAGAATCAAGGATGCTAGTATGATTTGGTGTAAGAAGGAGGATGATATTGAGAGAATTTTCAGGACTTATTTCAATGAGCTTTTCACGTCTTCTAAACCGGTGGGTGCTGAGACTATCACAGAGGTGGTAAAAGACATAATTTCTGGAGAGGATTGTGACTGGTATAGGCGGCCTTTTGATTCCTTAGACATTAAGTAATCTCTTAAGCATATGCATCCTCTCAAGGCCCCTTGGCCGGATGGTATACCTATTTTATTCTACAAGAGATTTTGGCATGTTGGTGGTGGGGAAGTCGAAGACTTGGTTTTGGACATTCTTAACAATGGAAAAAACCATGATGCTCTCAACAAAACATCATTTGTCTGATTCCTAAATGCAATAACCCTCAATCCCCGAAGGATTTCTGGCCAATTAGCTTGTGTAATATGATGATGAAGTTGGTCACCAAGTGCGTTGCTAACAGAATTAAGCCTCTACTCCCTAACATTATTGACGAGGAGCAGAGTACTTTTATCCAAGGAAGGCTTATCAGTGATAATGGACTGATAGCCTTGGAGTATTTTCACTGGCTTAAAAATAAAAAGAAAGGAAAGAGAGGTAGTATGGCGCTAAATCTCGACATGTTAAAGGCGTATGATAGGATTGAATAGGATTTTGTTCGCACTAATGTTGGATACTATGGGGTTTCCTGCTAAGCTTTTTGTTTTCATCATGAAATGTGTTACTAGTGTTTCTTACCAAATCCTTATTAATGGCCAACCTTCCAGAAGCTTTTCTCCAGGAAGGTGGACCATCTATCCCCTTACCTGCTCATTTTATGTGCAAATATGTTATTTGGAATATTGTCCAAGAGGTGAAGTGTAAAAACATCAATGGGATCAAGGTTGCGAGAGGGGCGCCTATTATCTCTCATCTTCTCTTTGCTGATTATAGCTTTCTATTTGCTAGAGCCGATCAAAGGGAGGCTGATGTTATTTTGAATGCACTTAGGGCATACCAGAGGGGCTTGGGGCAACTGGTTAACATCGGTAAATCTGAAGTGTCTTTTAGAAGCAATGTCCAACCAGATTGCAGGATGTCCATTTGCAGACAGCTAGGTTTTCAACAAGTTTCCTCTCACTTTAAATATCTTGGTATCCCAGTGGTGTTTGGAAGATCCAAGAAGGTGGTGTTTTCTCATGTGATTAAAATGATTTGGAAGAAGCTCAAAGGCTGGAAAGAAAAGGCTCTGTCAGGAGCGGGAAGGGAGATCCTTATAAAATTTTTAGCCCAAGCTATTCCCAACTACATCATAGGATGCTACAAGATTCCCGATGGGTGTTGTAACCAAATTGAAAAAATGCTAGCTAACTTTTGGTGGGGAGCCAAGGAGGGTTAGAGGAAGATACACTGGCTGAGGTAGGAGAGTTTGTCGAAGACTAAGAGCAGTAAAAACATGGGTTTCGGAAGCGTGTGTGACTTTAATTAAGCTCTCTTGGGAAAACAAGGATGAAGACTCTTACAAGGGGAACACACTTTACTTTGAAGGATTTTCAAAGCCATGTATTTCTATAAATGTACTTTTTGGGAAGCTCCTTTGGGTTGTGCTCTAAGTTATGCATAGAGGAGCATTTTGAGTACGAGAGAGGTCCTTAAAGCGGGTTGTAGATGGAAAATTGGTGATGGTCGTAGAGTTCGAATCTGGAAGGATCAATGGGTGCCCAAAGTTCCAGTTCTGTAAAGGCGCGAGGGTGAAGATGTTCCTGACAGTGATGCACATGTTTCTACTCTTATAGATGAGGATTTGGGAGTTTGGAAGGAAGATGTAGTCAATTCTTGTTTCACCACCTACGAGGCACACCACATCACCAGCATCCCTCTGTCATGAAGATTTCCAGAGGATAAGCTGGTTCGGTCATTATCGAGAGATGGGGATTATTCTATTAAAACTGCCCATCACCTGACTGGGCAGGAAAATTCCTGAGATGTTATTGGTTCCTCTGAGGTTCATGATGATTTTATGTGGAAAAGAATATGGTGTGTGCAACTGCCAAATCTGCAAAGATTATATGACCAAGAATATCACAATTTTTCTTGAACAACAGAAGGTGAAAACCATCCGGACTTGGAGCATTGAAGTTACCCATAGAAAATACAACACCTTCTACTCTCCATGGAAATTTGAATGAAGTATGAATAGTGATAAGAGTTTGATTGACAATACCTTATGAACTATAATTATTCTTGTAGAAAACCATAAGCATGTCCTAAAAAGTTTGTTCACTCTACACTCATTTGTTATTTTCATTTTCAAGGCCGATATATGATTTGTATTCTATTTGTGATAGTAGTTTGATTAAAAAATGGGTATTACAATCTCCAAAAGTAATCTATATGGATCTCGCTCGATGAAAACAATAAGTCTGTTATTGTAATAGAATGTATGTATATTCTTTTTAGACAGTATCCCTCATATGTCTTATTCGCTCATCAAGATTCGGTCCCATTAGAAAGGGAATAACCAATCCTATTACTAAAGAAATTTCTATTTTGAGGCTTGAAATAGCCTATTACTCTATTGTTATACCCCAAAATTTGCCCTTCCCTTTTTTACAAGAAATCACAACCCCAGGGTTTTCTCTGATTTTCGAGATTGACTCAAGAATCGGTCAAATAGACTTTTCTTTATCAGTTAATCCAGAATTAGGTTTTTTTTCATTCGCATTTTTCAGAAAGAACTGAATCCTCAGATATTCAGTTAATTATTACATTATTGTCATGCTTGTTCAAGATTGCTGGTTGTTTCTCAAAGAACCTAAATATCTGAGATAGGAGCTGAGGCTTTGTTTGAAACTTTGAGGCATTGGTTTGATCAGTGGAGTGAAAAGTGTATGGAACACTTGTTTGATTAACTGTACAAAGCATGGTTAATTGGAATGCCAGGCGTCTGATGATTAATGCAGGATTGCGAGACGACAAAAGTTTATTGATTATTTATTTCATCTGGATTAAAGTTATTGGGATACATTCCCAGTTATTTTAATTTAAGAGACTTAAATAATTAAATAGACAGTGCAAAAGAAAGAATGAAATATTTGACAAAGACTTTTATTTATTTATTTCAAATATTGTTACAAATGTTATTCGAATATTGTAAATTTATAATTTACAGTGTTTACAATAATATTTTTTGCAATAGATGAAAAGAAAATAAATCTAAAGCCTAAATCTTGAAATCTTTGATCTTCTACTGTTTCTTCCATTTATTCAACTGGTACCTACCTGAAAAAAAGAAGAGAAAGAAAGTCAGTACAAGATTATTTTAAATGAAAAGAAGAAAGAAATCATCATTAAAATTGACCGTCTAGAATCAGATTGCCTATTTTTCATCACGCTTTATTTTTCTCTCTGCAAATCACAAGAAGATCACTCTTCTCGGTTCACAGAGAGAAAAATAAAATAAATGCAAGCATGTCAAACTCAATGCAAAAACATGGTTGAATCACAAAAAGTTCCAAGCTGCAAACTGAGTTACAAAATTCCAAGTTACATTAACCAAGCAAAAGGTGTTACAAAGTTCAAAGAGGCAAACAGGCGCCAAAACTGCCAGGGTGAGTCAAAACAAAGGCATAAACTCAGCAGCAAATAAAGTCCCACATTCAGCTACAGTACAAAATTGCTACAAGACAGATTTGATAAAAATGGTAATGAAGCATAAAAACAGCAATACAACAGACAAAAGGCAAGACAACAGGAAGCAGTTTATTTGACAAGTAAAAACTTGTCAAAGATGCTTTTTTCATCATTTCCTAGACAATCCAATTTTTCAGAAATCAAAAGATAAATAAGCAATTAAAAATGCTTAAGGAGAGAGAGGAATGAGAGAACCTAGTGAATAGGTTTTGCAGTTTGCAGTTTTGGCAGGCTGTAAAGGAGAGATAAGAGGAACCAAAGAAACAATATAACGGCAGAAAAACATAAGAGATAAAATAGAGATTACATGACCTCCAAACTGTCAAGCAAAAACTGCCTCACAAACCATTCAAACCTGTTTAAAATTCCAAGCATGCCTAAACTTACTAAGAACCTGCTTCCAACAAACAAACTGCATAAGCATGTATAACCACAAGCAAAAACAAGCCTGTCTGAAGCCTCACAAAATAGAAAACCTGCAGAAGCAAGCTTGCTTCCAAACCTGCAAAAACTCAAACCATTCAAGCCTGTTTCAAAACCTGCAAAAACTCAAACCATTCAAACAAACTCAATCAAACCTGCCTTCCCAACACAAAATCACACAAGCTTGCATAACCTGCAAAACTGCTTGTAAAAACAAGCAAGCTTAACAAAAGTCTCAAACCTGCCTTCCAAAGCCAGAAGTAAGACAGCTTGCCTTACCAAAAGATCAAAAACACTATAGACAAACAAACTGCATAAGCTTGCTCCCAATAAACAAACTGCATAAGCTTGCTTCCAACAAACAAAACACTAAAACCATAAAAAAAAACCACAAATCACATGAGCCTGTCAAGCAAGCACAACAAGCCTGCCTAAAGTTCATCAAACTGCCAAATCATAAACTTACAGCCTGCATATCAAACTCAAATCCAAGCTAACAACAAGCCCTTTTTCAGAATACACATATTCATCATCAAAATCAACAAAGTTCACAAAGAGGAAAACGTCAAAAGTGAAGAGAACAACAAACAATCTTCAGAATAAAATTCATCATCAGAATCAACAAAGCCAACAAAGAAAAACATATCAAAAGCAATGTTTCAGACTGGATCATCACTAACATAGCAAAGGAGAAGAAGAAGAGAAGATTCAGAAGCAGATTGATATAGGGTTTTCAGAATATACATCATCATTAAACGATTCAAAAAGAAGCTAAAGATACAAAGTACCAGATAAACATCATCACACTCCTCCCTCCGCCTTGGCCACCTGAGAGCGCCACCAGTCCAAGCCCTCTCCTCCTCTCACTTTTCGGAAGCGAAACGTCCAAGGTAAATTTACTCTCAACCTTTTTACTATGCATCAAACATCAAAGCCATAAATCAAAACGAGCATGCAAGAAACAAACAAATGAGCAAACTGTAAAAAAAACTAAAAAACACGTTAAGAACAAAAAAACAATACCTTTTTAAATCGACGCCTTGTACAATCACGGAGAGGAGAGGGTGGAGGTAGCGCTCTGGCGACTGGAATCTTGGAGAGAGGAATCAAAAGCCCATTGGTTTGAGAGAGACGAAGAGGACAAAGACGAGAGGAGAGGAGCGCCGCTGTGCAAACTGTAAACCCTATTTCCCAATTATGAACGAACCCTAAAACAAATCTGTTCAAACAATGCAGTTGGGCTTTTGCCCCTTTGAACCCCTAAGCCCAAACATTCCTGGCGCCACACCCCCCTTTCTTTCTTATTTCTGATTTTTGTTCTTGGGCCATAATCTTTAAGCCCATCATCTCTCCCTTTTCAATTTTTTTTAAATATTCAAACTTTTCTAATTGAATTTATTCACACCAATGTTTTTCTTTCTTTTTATTATTTTATTTTTGTTTTGTTAATAATAAAGAGAAATAATGAATTAAAGTTTGTTTTGATATTTTTATTTATTTATATATTTAATTAAATACAAAAATACACATAAATAATAGAATACTTTAACTTAAAATGATTTTTCTTTTCTTTAAGAACTCTTAATCAATAAAAAACATAAAAATACAAAAAAATAACAATAATACTTAATCTTTTAAGTTACATTTTTTATTTGTAAATAAATACATACATCTCATATTTCTTTGATTTTCTTTATCTTATAATCTGTTAATATTTGAATTGCGTCAATTCAATTTGGTTGTAACCCATAATATTTGGGACATTATTCTGATAAGACTCATCCCCATTTGTAAATAATTTGTACCCCCATCCCCGGATACTCTTTTGTAATAGCTTAGAATTTAATTCTCGCACTTTATGCTTTTCAAATATGCCATGATTAAAGATTAGGTTTTGTATGAGAAAATTCAAAACCAATCGCTAGTTGACCTAATACAAAGACAAATGCATGATAATCAACACACCATTCACACTTGCACCCCTAGGATAACCTCGCTTGTTGCCTCGGAAAATGCAATCATGTCCCTCGAGTATGAGACACTCTAGCAAATGCCCCTTCAATAAACAAAGGTTATAGTCCCTCGATGACCCTCGATGTTGCCTTCGATAAAACGATCCTGTCCCTTACAAAATTGCTAGAGCGTCTCACAAGTTGCCTTCAATGATTGTATACGATGACCCGTGCCTGTCCCATTTAAACATTCTAACGCAAGGTTGTTCATCAAACACAATGGTGAAACAACACTGTTAAAAGGGTTAAAAACATAAGAAAGATCTTTGAG